TTCATCCCTTATTCTTGCTATTGAGATTTGTTCCCTCCTTTCTTTGGTTAAATTTGCAAGTGGTTTGTCGATTCTGTTTATCCTTTCAAAAAACCAACTTTTAGCAGCATTAATTTTTTCCATAGTTTTCTTATTTTCCCTCTCCTGAATCTCAGCCCTGATTTTTCCCATGAACTTTTTGAAACCCTCTCATAGTTTGATTTTTAGAAGATCCTAAGGGATTATTTTTGGTTTAAGGTTTAAAGATGATCTCTTAGGGCAATAGTTGCAGGGGGTCATCTAGCTTCTTTCAATCCAGAAAGTCTGGATTCTGTGAGAATTTTAAATTCTGTTCTGCATTTTCCCTCTTTTGATTAGGATTATGCTATGGAATCTCTGACCAGAATATCCAGTAAATGGTTATTGGCATCATTCACTTCTTCTGGTCTCACAGGACACAATTCGTTGTTCATGGAGGCAGTTAGCCATACATTTCCTCCTCCTATTCCTGACGCTCCTTCTTCCGCTGTTGTTCCAGTGTCAGACCCTGGATGGTCAGTGCAAGCTGTTAGGTTCCTCACGTAGTATGCGAAAATCTACGAGGGAGAACCAAAGTACTAAGCATGTTATTTGGCCAGTTAACTGTGATATCCCATGAAACCTCTGATCCAAGGAACCAAAGCCCATGAAGTGTTTGGTTGTACACAAGGAACCTCAGTAGCTACTCTGTTGTGTTTTTTATACATTAACTATCACACAACTTTGGCCAAACTTTTTCCAGGATACCACTTATTGACAATATATTAATAGGCGTATAATCCTCCCCTTAATGCAATTTTTGTCATCATTTTCATTTGAAACTCAGTACTCATAAACAGTAATCCCCCTACCCCTCTTTCCTGACCCTATCTTATCACTAATAAGCTTTGGTCTCTACATTTGCCTGTTCTTGTCATTTATTTAAATGAGATCATAGTATTTGTTACCAAGCCAATGACCCAAGTGTTATCGTTGATTCCTCCTTAGTTCTCCACAATCAAGTGTTTACCCAACCAAGCTCGCTGCCATCCAGTCAATTCGGACACATAACGACCCAGCAGGACAGAGTAAAACTTACCTAGTGGGTTTCCAAGAATAAATCTTTATGGAAGAAAGCCTCATCTTTCTCCTGAAGTCGGCTGCTGGTTTTGAACTGCTGGCCTTGCTGTTTGCAGCCCAAGTCAGAGCCAATACAACACCAAGGTTTCTAGTGTTTACAAAGGCATCTTAATATTGTTTCCAAGTTGTTCTTTAACCCGTCTCTGAACACCACCACTGCCATTTCATTCCTACTGCATTCATGAAAGTCTCCTATGTTTCTCACCTAGATTGTGCATTTTCATCTTCTTCTCCCACATTCTTTTCTACACGGTACGACTAGAATGATCTGCTAAAAGGCAAAGAAGCCCATGTTGCTCCCAAGCTTAAAAGTCCGTTTCAAAAAAATAGCCCCTTTCATTTCTTACAGTCTTTAGGCAAAATCTAAACTCCTTCTTTTTGGCCCCAGACTGACTTCTTGCCATGCAGTCGAGTCTTCCTGCCTTCCTGCATTCTATTCTGGCTGGAAAGAACTCCCAACCCCACCCCACCCGCAACATTCTCTTCCCACTTAATCTTTGTTGTCCTTTAAAGCAGTCAGGTGTCTTCTCTGGAAACCTTGGTCACCGTCATTGCCACCCACTCACCAGTACCTGCATAGACACACTCAGTGTCTTGTTGTGGCATTTGTCATACTTTTATGTTTGTTTATCTCCCACTTACCTATGAAGTCCTTGGTGACTGAACTATATTTTATCTTCCTGTGTCTAACAGAGCTAGCCCTCTAATCACCCTTAAGCCATCTTAGATTTATACATCTTAGCTATGTTTTTAAGATTTCTGGTGGGTGAGGGAATCGCAGACCATTTTATAAATATTTTATTGCTTATACTTAAGAAGAAAGAAAGAAACCCCACAGGGAGAAAAAAAATTTTTATCCCCAATCTTTACTATTCTAATAGGAGATTAGCTATTATTAGTAGGGAATTTGATTCCAATGATTCAGATTTTTAAGTTCTACATCATGTACTTGTGCCTCGGGAAAGTGTCCTACGTTTCCAATGTGTATAATGGTTGTAATGGAAGTAAATTCAGTTCTGACCTACTGCTTATTTTGAAAACATAAAGTTACCACAGCACAACTGAAATTTCAGTGAACAATTTGAGCATAATGTGCTCAATCTTGTGTGTGTTTTTATGTGATGCTCTCAGTGAAAAATGGCGCCCAGCTGAACATCTTAAACAAATACCATGTCCTTCAATTCATGCATATGTGCGAGAGTTCAAATCTTTCATTTGATTTACAGTCGCCCTCCTCGCTCCATTTCACCATAAACTCACAAGCTGCAGCCATTTCTGTGCTCCTTCCACAAGCAAGCCGAATGTCCTTTTCTTCTTCCTGCCAGAGATAGAACACCATCACACGCGTATATAAACCGAGTATTGCAGCACAGTTTTTGAAGCACTTTATAACTGTTTATTTATTTATTTTTATTTTTAAATCGTTTTATTAGGGGCTCATACAACTCTTATCACAATCCATACGTACATCAATTGTGTAAAGCGCATTTGTACATTCATTGCCCTCATCATTCTCAAAACATTTCCTCTCCACTTAAGCCCCTGGCATTAGGCCCTTATCCCCCCCCCCTCCCTCCCCCCTCCCTCATGAGTCTTTGATAACTTACAAATTATTGTTTTGTCATAACTTGCCCTGTCCAATGTCTCCCTTCACCCACTTTTCTGTTGTCCTTCCCCCAGGGAGGAGGTCACATATAGATCCTTGTAATCAGTTCCTACTTTCCAACCCACCCTCCCTCTACCCTCCCAGTATCTCCACTCACACCACTGGTCCTGAAGGGATCATCCACACTGCATTCCCCGTGTTTCCAGTTCCTGTCTGTACCAGTATACATCCTCTGGTCTAGCCAGACTTGCAAGGTAGAATTCAGATCATGATAGTGATGGGGAGGAAGCATTTAGGAACTAGAGGAAAGTTGTTATGTTTCATCTTTGCTACATTGCACCCTGACTGGCTTGTCTCTTCCCTGAGACCCCTCTGCAAGGGGATCTCCAGTGGCCTACAAATGGGCTTTGAGTCTCCACTCTACTCCCCCCATCATTCACTATGATATGATTTTTTGTTCTGATGATGCCTGATCCCTGATCCCTTTCACACCTCGTGGTTGCATAGGCTGGTGTGCTTCTTCCATGTGGGCTTTGTTGCTTCTGAGCTGGATGGCCACTTGTTTACCCTCAAGCCTTTATCAGCACATTTTTAAGGCAGTTTTTGTGGTGAAATGAGGTGCCCTGGCTGATATTCAGGTTGGCTTATATGCGAGTATGCATGGTACCATCTTTGTAAGAGGATTTATGGAACTTTTAAAACTAGTGTGTGTTTAAGTGTGCTGCTATTGTTATCAAGTTCTTATCTTTTTATGTATCACTGATGATGAGTTGGGTGGTGTCACCCTTTTTTTGCATGGAATTTTGCATCGTATGGTAACTTAAAGAGCACCTACTTTGCAAAATGATTTTACCGACACTAAGGTTGATGTATGGATTGAGTGGTTTATATAGAAAACATTGAGAATATTTTTCACATAATAAATATCTACTACCATCATTAGTATTTTTGGAATAAGTGTTATTTGGTCAGAACTTTACTGATGGAATTTAGTTTCCATATCCACAGGAGAAAGAAGAGGCTCTCTACTCTTGTAAAGAGTTAGAGTCTCAGAAACTCACAGGGACAGCCCTACCCTATCCTGTAGAGTTGCTATGAGTCAGAATTTACTCAGTGGCATTGCCTTTATTTGTTATTGTTGTTTATTTGTTTTAAGGTTAGTTCTCTTTGGTTATACAAGTCATTTAAGGACTGTGACCCACAGACTTGATTGATATATATATGCATCAGTTGAGTGAATGATGTATCACAATCCTAAGTGTATTAAGTATTTCTGTCCTCTTCAACTAAAATTTAAGAGGATTTTGGTTGCCCTCTTAATATATTCAGTACACAAGCATTTTCCTAAGTAATTAATCTGATTCACATTTTTGTTTTTTTTATTTTTGAAGGTCCAGAATGCTAAGCAAGTTAACAGTGCACTTAAACAGAAAATGGAAGGTGGAATTGAAGAATTCAAACCTCCTGAGGTATGTTATTGAAGGATACATATAATTAAAAGGTGAAGCCTTGTGCTTTGAGTGATCCTGTTCAACTCATACTTTGGTCGTATATGCCATTAATGCTTTGAAGCCTTCATACTACAGATCACTTGCTGTGTTTGTTTTGTCATTTAGACAGTTGGTTTTTTGATCCTTGACTAATGCTTTTGGACTTAAGTTCAACCATTTCTTCCCTACCTTTAGCAATTCCTATCAAGCACAGTAAATTCGGCAGGTGTCTGTAGAGGTAGGCCCAGGGCATATGAAACGAGAAGAGAAGGTCATCAGAGGAGCAAGCCAGTGCAGTGCTGGCCCCACAGCAAGGTTTGCTCAAAGGCTTTACCTGCTTGGGTGAATTGGTGACACAGTAAGGAAGTAAACACTGAAATTGGAGTATATTATAACATGTTTAATTTTTATTTTAAGGTATTTGTCTTTTGATTCAAATTTCCCATTAGGATTTCAGTATATGGACTTACATCCCTAAAAAGATAAAATCTGAAAATAAGATGTAGATGGACCATTGTCTCAAGTTTTAATTGTATTTCAAGTGAAACCTATGTGTGTGATTTGCTTTTGTGGTTTGTTTTTTTCTCTCTAATATTTGTGACCATTATAGGATTACTTATTAAATGACCTTAAGGGGAAGCCAGGATTTTTTGTAAAACTTTCATAATAAAAGCTTTTTTTCTTTTCCATATCCTGAATTTGCTTTTATGTGTATGTGATAATGAAACCATTTCATTTTCTGCTAATGAAACATGCCCCCCCCAAAAAAAAAAAAAAAAACACAGGTTGTTTGAAATATCTACAAGTGAAGTATGTGTACGGGGAGAGAGGGATACAGAAGAAAAGTGCTTCAAAAATAGTGTGCCATGTGTGTCCTCAATCAATCCTTCAGGAAGGAAGAATCACTATGAAGAAAGGTTTTGCCTTGAATGGTCTCTTTCAAAGAGGCTAAGTGATGCTAATGAAAAACACATCACTATGATATTACACTAACCCTACAGGTAACTGACATGTAAGCAACAGTTAAGGAAAATGAAACATAAAGGATACTACTTTACTTTAGGTTGTATTGCTGTAACAAATGTAAAAGATAAAAGCAGAAACTTTAAATGCCTATCATCTCATAATTTTAAAGTGAAATAAAATAAATGCAGCAACAGGAAGAAACAGGGACTGCTGCAAAGAGCTTTCTGCAGGTGCACTGAAGGAAACGGAGAAGTTCCTCAGGACACATGTCTCGCCAAGACTGTCTCAAAAAGAAAGCAGGCCGGAGTCACTTACAGTCATTGAATAAATTGAAGTGATAGTTAGCCTCGTTCTTACAAGAAACACAAAGCCCTGGTAGTTTTATTGGGGAAAGTCTACCAAATGTTCAAGGAAAGCAAAATTCTAAAACAACATTTCCAGAAAGTTACAGGACAGCCCCACTCACTAGCATTATATTAAGTAAGACATGAAAGTGCGATGACACATTATAACTTTCTTGTAAATGGCCTCATTTCAGCCTCACATACTGACAGAGAAGTTGGCTGAACAGACACTGTTGTTTTACATAAGGAAATGGGGACTTGGAAGGAGTGTTGCACTTGTTCAAGGTCACATGTCTAGTATCTGACCAAGCTCTGGCTAGATTTCAGTTTTTTAAGAGTCTGGGTTGGAATCTAAGATCAGCATGTTTCATGCTACCTCTTAATTTTGGATATAATAGCAGGAAACATCAGGCACTTAATAGTCATTGGATTAGTAATTATCAAATACTTATTACATATTTTGGTTTACTATAAAAATAATGATCAAAATAAAACAACCACAATCACCATATTATTCCTCTTGCTTTGTAAGGGGAAAGAGTAGTGTGAACAGATATATTTCAAAGGGCTAGCTGAATAAACGTATAGACTTGAGAAAATCAGGTTTTTATCCCCCTAGCATTAGATTTCCTAATCAAAGTAGGTTATTAGACTTTGGAATAATTACATAGGCCTTTAAATGAAGTAAATTATCTGGAAGTGAACAGTTTTAAGATGTTTTACTTAAAATTTGCTCGTGTTTGTTACTTTCTTTAGGGGAAAAATTGGGTAATTTCATGTCAGGTGCTACATAGACACTGGACAGTGTGTGGGAGATGAGGAAGGTGAAGAAGATGTGGATTTTCCACCTTAAAACAAAAAACATAAATTTAGATGTTATAAGGCCGATGGTAGATTTGTAAGTAAAATACCATAGGAAAACAGAGGTGATATTACTGAGACAACAGGGAGACTTTTTCCAGAACACTCCAGGCAGAGAGAGTAACGTAAGCAATGGTTTGGTGTTGAATGGTCCATTCAAATTATAAAATCAGTGGGGAAAATTTAAAACACCTTTTAAAAAGTCAACTGGTATTCCCTGAGTACTTGTTACTTGCTCATTATTTTGCTAATTAATATTAAGAATTTAAAAGAAGTGTAAAACCATATTTTCTCAAGAAGCATGCTGTCTACTGAGGAAGGCAAACTGTAATGCCGAGAAGGGGTGACCCTAGTGTGTGAGGGAGCTGTTGACAAGCTTGAACAGAGGCTTCATTGTGGTAGGAATGAGTGGGCAAAGTCCAGAGTTTGAACTTCCTTATGGTGGCTAGAGAGAGAAGTTTGCCTTTTGAATTAAGTCAAGTGGAAAAGCTGTACAGTTTTGGCAACAAAGGCAGGATGTAATGAAAATTTTTAATTTGGGGAAAATACCCTGAATGTATTATGCAGAATAAAATGTAGGAGGAGAAAAACTGCGTTGCAGCTACAATACGCAGTGTGTGAGTGGTAAAGTAAAATGGTAGAGGAGGACCAGATAGGCTAGACAAGCAGTCATCACCCAAATGGCATTTCAAAGGAGAAATGAGTGTGATTTCTTCAAAGTATATGAGAGTGTTGGGGATGAAGGATGGACACTGTTTTGTTACACTTCAGTTTGTTTAGATAGAGGTGGGTAGGCAGGGGACAACAAAAACTACTGAATGCCAAGAAGGAAGAAGAATTATAGGTGAGAAAAGGAGTATTTTTGAAGCTAGAAATTTCCCCGTCTGCCGGTATTTTCGTTCAGAGTGAATGGCAGTCTTTTACTATGGATGTTAGATACAATTTCCATATTGGGTGACTTCTTCCAACCCAAAGACAGTATGAGTTTCCTACTGACCAATAAATAAATAAATAAAGCAGGAGATAGAGTGGAGGGAGGGGGGTGCAGGATGTAGGGACAAGGTAATTATCAGGGAAATGATGTGATAACAATTCTGAATTCACTAAAGGTATTCAGAAGGCTTAGCCCTTTTATATTACTATGTTTCAAAGAAGCATTTCCAATCAGGGTTTGCTGAAAAAGAATACGCTCAAGAGTATACCTAGTGAACCACAGATGCCATGCAATTTTCGATTTCTAGATATATTTAGGTATATTTTCCTTAAGTCTCTGCAGGACTTTGTTGAGTTTTCATATTTCTCTTTCAGGCTTTCCCTAGTCTAATACTTGAATTTTGTCACATGGGTTATTCAAACACACAGTTTCAGGGCCTCCCTACATTTTTTTTTTCTACTGAATCATCTTAAAGGTTAATATTGACAACCATAATTAAATTCCACAACTCTTATTTTTTGGATGTTATTTCCACACCTCTTAACTCCCTTTCCTTGCCTTTTTTAAAAATCATTTTATTGGGGGCTTGTACAATTCTTATCACAATCCATACATACATACATCGTGTCAAGCACATGTGTACATTTGTTCCCATCATCATTCTCAAAACATTTGCCTTCTACTTGAGCCCTTAATATCAGCTCCTCGTTTTTCTCTCTCCCTTCCCACTCTCCCCTCCCTCATGAGCCCTTCATAATTCATAAATTATTATTTTGTCATATGTTACACTGTCTGATGTCTCCCCCCACCCTCTTCTCTGCTATCTTTCCCCCAGCGAGGAGGTTATACGTAGATTCTTATAATCGGTTCCCCTTTCCACTCCATTCCCTCCACCCTCCAGGCATAGCCACTCACCTCTGTTCCGGAAGGGGTCATCTGTCCTGGATTCCCTGTGTTTCCAGTTGCTATCTCTACCAATATACATCCGTCTAGCCACATTTGTAAGGTAGAATTGGGATCATGACAGTCGGGGGGAGGAAGCATTTAAGAACTGGAGGAAAGTTACATATTTCATCGTTGCTACCCTGTACCCTGACTGGCTCATCTCCTCCCCACAACCCTTCAGTAAGGGGGTGTCCAGTTGCCTATCAATGGGCTTTGAGTGTCCACTCTGCACTCACCCTCATTTACAATGATATGATACTTTGTTCTTGGATGCTTGATACCTGATCCCTTCGACAGCTCATGGTCACACTGGCTGGTGTGCTTCTTCCATGTGGACTTAGTTGCTTCTGAGCTAGATGGCTGCTTGTTTATCTTCAAACCTTTAAGACCCTAGACGCTATATCTTTTGATAGCCTGGCACCATGAGCTTTCTTCACCACATTTGCTTATGCACACATTTGTCTTCAGTGATCATATTGGGAAGGTGGGCACCCACTGATATGATTTTTTGTTCTTTGATGTCTGACAGCTGGTCCCTTGTATACCTCGTGGTCAGACAGGCTGGTATGCTTCTTCCATGTGGGCTTTGATGCTTCTCAGATGGCCGCTTGTTTATCTTCAAGTCTTAAGACCACAGACACTATATCTTTTGATAGCCGGGCACTATCAGCTTTCTTCACATTTGTTTATGCTCACATTTTTCTTCAGCAATCATGTCGGGAAGGTGTACATCATGGAATGGCAATTTAATAGAACAACGTGTTCTTGCATTGAGTAAGTACTTGAGTGGAGGCCCAATGTCCATCTGTTGCCTTAATACTAAACCTATAAATATATGCACGTAGATCTATTCTTGCCTTTTGAGAGGTTGTGTCCTCTTGTATTACTGTTATGTTTTCTTCTCAGCTATAATTTTCTTTCTATCCTAAAATATTGCTGTTCTTGTCCTCAGAATTCATTTCTCTTTCTTCCCTCCTTCGGAGATACCATACAACCTCAAAAATAAAACCAAACTCATTGCCATCAAATCTGTTCCAGTTCATAGGAGCTCACAGGGGCATCTCTGCAGGTTTCCCAGACTATTCATAGCAGTAGAAAAAAGGCTCGTCCTCCATAGAAGGGTTAGTGGTTTGGAACTGCTGACCTTGCTACCATGGCTCACAACTCAGTGTATTAAGGTCACATTGTATGTATCTTTAAATGATACACAAATTCAACCATAGGCACTCAGTCAAATAAAAAGAAAGGGTATGTTTAATAATAACAGTTTTAGTTGTACTGACAATTCTGTCTGGATGCCATTTATTGAATGGATACCCAGAGTGTGCAATTAGGAGCTGGAAACTCAATCTACTCCTCTTCACTTGGTTTTACCTTCCACGTGCCTCTTGTGTGAACATCTCATTGAACCAATTGAGATTCTCACATTTAAAATTCTTTTTCCATATATCACTTCCCTGAGTTCAAGCCAAAGACCCTCTTTGAGGGTAAAACCTGACAAACTAGTGGTCCATTCTAATGCAGGAAAAATGCCTGTGTTCACTCATTGAGCGACTTTTATAAGACTGCTTCAAAGGCAAGAGACTTGAGAGTGGAAGGCCGGGTGAGCACCTTTTTTCCTTTTCATTTGAGACTTTAAAACCCCACATCCGAGTTAGATACATCTCCATTGTACTCCCTTATGAAATGTTCTCAAATCTTTCAAATATGTGTTTGAGTAAATTAAGATCATAGCGCTCCCAGTGAAAGCTGTCATCTGAATATGCCTCACCTTCTCGCACCTCCCAGGTGAGCATTTCTTTACTTCTTAATGGCATTACTCTGTTCCCATATTTCCCAGCTTAAAATCTTATTCTGGTTAGTCATTTGCTCACTTCTCACCTCCCCACTCCCCCTCTCCCATCCCTCCCACCCAAAACTGCTTATTAAATTCAGTGTGAATTTAACCAACTTTGTATTAGTCTGGGTACTTTGGAAAAACAAATCCACAGCAACTCATGTATAAGAGAGAGTTTTATGTAAAGAAAATGTGCATCACGAAAACATCCCAACCCAATGCTGCCCAAGCCCACAAATCCAACATTAACCCATTAACCCAACACCAGTCCACAAAGTCCTCCACCTCACAAAACAGAGGCAATGATACCGACTGCAGGAGGAAAGCTGAGTCAGTGAACGAACAAGCATCTCAGCACTAGCAGGGGTCTCCACACGGCTGCTCCAGCACCCAGGGCTGCATCGGGGTAGGTCCATGTAGCTTCTCCTTGGGGATGTCTTGTAGGAAGTCAATCTTGCAAGCTGAAACAGGGAACTGCTAAGGCAGCTGCACCCGGTGCAACCATCACAAAACAAGAGACCCGAGAACTAGAAAGGCGAGGCTTCACCACCCATTTATCCCTCCGCCTTTCAACTAGCCCCACATGTGATTATCGGCCAGGCTGGCACAATTAACTAACTCAACTACCCTACCAAAAGTGGTCCTTAGCATATTTTACTTAAGTTAAATATTACCAATTTCCCCGACAAGTTCTTGCCATAAATTCTGTTCTCGTCACATGGAATGCCTTCTCATCTATTTTTACATTTTTTCCTATTGTAAATCCCATCTCAGTCCCCAGCCTGTACAACTTTACCATGCTCCTTTCCCTCCTCTTCAATCACGGTGTTTCTCCTTTCTTTAAATTCCTAATATATGTAGTAATGTTTACTTTTAGCTCTAATACTTGTGTTTATCCAAAGTCCTGGTTAGATTATAAATGTTAGGCAGTTTAGATACTATATCTTTATTTTGTGATCTACATTGTAGACATACATTTAAAATGTACTTGTTGAATGTTTAAAAATAAATTTTTTTGCAGAGTATTTTATTTCTTCGGTTACTTTGGCTCCCTTTTCATTGACAGGAGCCCTGGTGGTGTAGTGGGTACAAGTAGGACTGCTGACTGCAAAGTCGGCAGTGGCAAACCACCAGGTGCTCCCAGCACAGGAGAAAGATGGGCTCTCTTCTCCAGAAAGAGTTAAAATCTTGGCAACTCACAGAGGCAAGTTCTACCCGGTTCTATAAGGTCATGAGTTTGGTTTTTCATGAATAAAAGGAGCCCTGGTGCCATAGTTGGCTGGGCGTCGGGCTGCTAACTGAAAGGTCAGTAGTTCGGACCCGCTGGTTGCTCTGCTCCCATAAAGACTCACAGCATCATAAACCCCAGGAAGCACTTCTGCTCTGCCTTCTGAGGTCACTGTAAGTGAGAGTTGACCTGATGGCTGTGGATTTGGTTTTGGGGTTTCGTTAATGATACTTTTCTTATAGTTCTGTCTTTCAGATTTAACAGACATCAGTTAATCAAATTCCGTTTTCTCAGGCACTGTATGTACTAGGTGGTTTTGACATATATTCTAAATATATCCTCATGTTTAATTATATTGGATCCTCTGTGCCCAAGTATTCTTTATATCTGTGAGAAGCACCAAGAAGCAAAGGTTGCCAATAAGAAAATACCCACTAATGAACTGACCCCTTATCAAATTGGGATCTGTTTACCAGTGCTCTGTAATTACTCTAGTGTTATCTAATCCACCACATCACCATCTTCCTGTCGCTCTCTGACCAATACTGTATGACTATAGCACACATCAAAATGAAATCTCCATATGACAAAAGATGCAAGGCTTCGTAACCTTTGTCAAAGTGCAAGAGAACGAATGACTTACTTAAATCATTTGCAAATGGGTGACATATGGGCATCCAGCTGAATTCGCAACTTAGGGGAAAAGAATGATGACTCAGAGCCAAGAACTTCAAAACAATAGCTTACAGCTATTTGGCCAGTGGGGGGTGGGGACTATTGCCAAAATGAACGGATTGTCTTAATTTTAATTTTCATATCAAATTACATTCAACCTTTTATTTTTCCATCATTCATTATGAAATTTTAGCCCTGTTTTAAGGAGATCCCCGTAACAACTCTCCTGTTTCCTTCCTCTCTTTGTACTGTTGTCTTTTGCCTCGATGGGGGCATCTGGCCTTAAGGCCATCTGGCCCATTTGCTGTACCTTTTTCATCTCATCTAAAATCCAGTGCTTTCTGCTTTCAGTTGTTCCCCTTCCAGTCACTTATAGTAAAAAAAACTTCTTCTATTTTTGTTTCACCTACTGCTTCACTCTTCATTCATAGTGAAGAAGTCGGTGTTATTCAAAGTCCCTACGTACCATAGACACTCCTTTGCCTAAGACTATTTTAGGTGTTGAGGCAAGACCTGCACACCTCTGTCCACTCAAAGGACACCTCCGTTACTGTTTCACCCAGCATAATCTGATCGTAATACCCAGCCATTTTTTCTCAGAAGTTACTACTATAAACCTCTGTTATTTCCATCCTTCTATCTACTGTCACAGGTCTTTGATTGTCAGGTGTCAAAAGGCATATACTAATAGAATTTGACGAGATATTTCATAGTATGATAATAGACATATCTAAAACCTAGGGTGTTTCTTAAAAACAAAAAGTCTTTGCAGCTGTGTCAGATTCAGTACCACCACCACCACCCACACACTCACACCCTTGGCAGGCACTGTCCTCAACGGCTGCCACAGAAACACTGTGACTCATGAGCCCTGTTCCTTTTCTTTTGGGCCTCGGATAAATTGTGTTACAGACATTTAAAAAAATCTTTGGAAATCTTGCCCAGGAGGGGGATCCATTTTTATTAGTGAGTCCCTTTCATGTTGATTACACTACTGTTGTTCAGGGTAAGGGTATGTGTAACACAAACGTCCAGGGAAGAAATTTTGGAGATGAGTACCTCACCAAAGGAAACAAGCCTCCTGAAGTGTTAACGCTAGGCTGAAGTTGTATGATGGGGCAGGGTAGTCAGAAAATGGAATGGCTGCTCTGGTGGATGATCGCCGGTTTTATCGTCTCTTGATCAGAACATAGTGCACACATCATTCATTCTCCCCAATCAGTGCATTTCCCTTGCATTATCTTTCTGTGTGGGTTAAAGGTAATGCAGAGTATATTGTTTAATTCTTCTAAAAAGTAAACCTTCATAAATTAGTGTTTTAGTAATCTCATGTCTGTGATTTGGTGAAAGTTAAGAAAAAAAATAAGCACTTTGGAAAAATGTCTGTCTTCATATCCTCATTAGGAAACTTCTCTTTAATTTTGTAGTCAAATCAGAAAATTAATGCCCGTTGGACCACAGAGGAGCAGCTTCTAGCAGTGCAAGGTATATTAAAGATAAGCAGTTATTGTTGTTAATAATTCTCTTTAACTTGTCATGAAAGGGGGCTCCGCCACAGGTCTCCCCTTCCTGTAGAAACGCATCAAGAAAGGGCTCTGTTCATCTTGGTGAACCAGGACGTCTGTGGCACGTGAGCTGGGGTGCATTTTGGGTCCTAAATAGCACCTAAGGCATTCTTATCACTCACTGCAATGGTGGTGGCGGCAAGCAAGCGCAAGTTGGTTGGGCCTGGGCCCTCTGTGCGTCTGCTTCAGCATCACTGAAACGAAATTCATTCTTACTGTGGCAGTAATCAGTAGCTCATAGTTAAAAGCATAAATGAACTATGGCATGTTTCTGCTTTCGCTAAATACTCTTTCCGTACAGAGTTTCTCTGCTTGATCAATGTCAGGCACTACCAATATTGACCAGGTGCTTCACTTTCCAGTGCATCTTACCTTACTTAAGAGATGTGCCCCAAATGCTTAGATACCTGATTTTGAAACCACACAATGAAATTATAACATACATATGTATATGTATTGAGGGGAGGGGAGAGACTTCAAGAGACATAAAAAATACATGTACATATAGTGTTTTTAAGTCACTGTAAGAATGCTGTGTTAAAGCGTATGGCAGAAGACTGAATTACAAATATGCATGGGCAAAATTGGAAGCATAAACTTGGGTTAACTCCTGTTCGTATTACTTAAAGAAGGGAAATGGTGTACTTAATTCATCCTTATGGGTTACTTGTGTCTTCTGCTCAAAATAAACTACCTACACAATTGGTGGTGTAATTTAAGGTTTTGTTGACGTTTTCTTTCTTGGCCCACTGTGTTGAGGACTAGTATTCTTTGACCTAGGTTATCAAGGGTTTGAAAGATTGAGGCCAAGTACATGTGTATTATTCACTCTAGCAGTGAAACATAAGCCTACCCTTTAAAATATTCCCTGATACACATCAAAAAGCATGTTTAATTTTAAAATACTGTGTAAGTACCTTTGGGTATGAGAATGATGTAATTACAGATTGACTGATAGATGACTCTGCAGCTTGGATTAGGAAAAGTGAGACTTAGCCAGCAGTAATTGAAAGTGTCACAGGCGGGTGCCAGCAAGATGGCATCAGCCTTCCCTTTTAGCCCATGCCACACAGCAAGTCTTCATGACGAGAGGTGCCTGGTGCTGTGGAGGCTGGCTGCATGCCAAGCACCCCGTAGGGCTCAACTGCTAAGTGAGACACAAAGTTTAGTTCATCTATAAGGTTCACTGATAGCTTTTTGAAAGTAGAAAAGTAAAATATGTTTTAAAAATACAGGAGCATTTTCAATGGCTGCTTCATATTTCTGTAGAACTCTGATGACTCATGGCTCTAAGAATTCTTTTGCATTGGCACTGGTTTTTTAATTCATATAAAGCCAATATTTCCCTTGATTACAGCTTACTGCCTCTACAAACTGAACCCTGGCTTCCAGTATTAAGTTGCTTAGTGGTTAGAGTACTAATCCTATACTCAGGAAATTATCCCAGTAAAAGGATTTTCTGACAAACCTCTGCCAGGGCAATCTGAGCAAATATTTTTCTATACAGCATTCTGGATTTGACATTGTTCTACAGCCCTGCTTTTAACTGGCAGTGGCCACTGAATTGTAGGGCTCAGGTAGAGTCTGGGCAAGGAGAAATTCAAGAGAAGGGCAGTGGCAAGATTTATATATTCATAGATGGTTTGATCTGTGTGTGTGTACGTTATCTCAGCTTGCTAATATTAAAAGGAATGAATGCTAATGTAGAGATAACCAGACATTTCTCTGTGCTTAAATTATCATGGTTTTTCCTGCATAGTTTAAAAGTAATCCTTATATTTTACTAGTAGTCATTTGTACCAAAATACACATATTTTTAGGCTTTTAAAGGTACTTTCCTAATACTATGTTCCTGTCTGTTTTAATTTATTTATTTTGACAGTTTGGGATCTTTGTTTGGAGTTGTGTTTTTTTTTAACAATAGAAAGTTACTTGTGTCCAAAATAGCGATTTTAGAAAGAATTAAAAGGTGCCTGCTTTGTCTCATGTACTCACACATGTATGTAATGTTCAGATGTGTGTCTTAGAATGAGTATAATCACGTAGCAGCGTCACCTCTACTAGAATCTATTGTGTTTGTTTTAACATGCAGAATTTGCTGTCCCAAAATCCTTATCATAGTTATTTTTGTTTTTTCTTTTCCTTCTTCTGTTTACAAACTGTTTATATGGTTTTACTCTAGTGGCCATTTAAATTTCGATATTAAGGCATTTTACACTTAGACATTTTACACTCACACTTATACTTACACATACATTCAGATTTGACGCTCATTCATAAATCTCATAGTAAGCTATTATAGTAACTTAGAACTATTTACTCTGTCACTAGTGATATTTATACTAAATTCAATTTTAAATAAATAAATAATTAAATAATCGTTTTGGTGTTTGTACAGTGACTCTACTAAAGCCAAACAAAATATGTTATAACTCCTTGGGGTTTAAATATGTACATGTGCGCTTCAAAAAGTTTGTGGAAAAACAATGTCTCATCCTTTAATTCCATTTTTCCATGAACTTTTTGAAGTTCCCTTCTATTTCACACCTCACTTTCCTGGCCCATTCACTTTATATTGGTGATAGCTAAGGACTGTATATTTAAGTAAGTTTACTCATCTTGCTCCCTTACATAGAAGGAGAAAGAATCCTGCTCAGGCTAAATAGGAAGCTTTGCACTTTGTTCATCTGTTACTGTATTATGTTAACTCTAGTTCAAGCTGTATTAGAATATTATAAGAACAGATAATTTAATTACTCTTACTTTTTTTTGTGCCAAGAGTAGTATTTCTAAAATTTCTGTCACTTGTTCCAACTCTATTTATTTTTTAAATTTTTCCAACTTTAAATACCTACAGTTTCTATTTAATGAATACTGGGTTCAAACTGAAACCAATTATGCCCTTCCCATACTTGTATTAGTGGTGAATTATTATCCTGTTTGCAATTCACACTTGTTATTTATATACCAAACATTATTTGGTAATCAAGAATTAAGAAAGGAATTAGATTTTAGGTGTGTGTGCTTTGTTTTTTTCACATGTTCTAGGAAACAATTGGCTTGTTTTTTTAAAAAATCTCAACATTTTTAATGATAGTACAAATAATTTATTTTTATAATATCTGGCAAGCAATGTAGTATAAAATATTTGCCTTTTTATATCTTACATGTGTTCATTTTCTATTCATTAGTGCTTTAAAAAAAGTATATTTCCCAATTAAAATATTTGCTGCTTTATAATAAACAACAAATATCCAGTTTAATGAAGATAACTTTAATTTCCAGTTCTTTTTACCTATTGCCTGTCTTCTCATATAAAGCAGGAAATGACAGAACTGTTCCGGTGGGTTACGTTTATAGATAAATGTTGCTTTCTCTCTTTTATACTTCATAGATACATTTCTTTTTGAGAGAACTAAAGTTGTAAGTCTCAAAATCCTTTTCCTAATTTTAATCTCATATTAAAAAAAAGCCAAAGTAGTTCATAAAGTAGAAGCAAAATCGGGTTTTGTGAGTAATAAAGGCAGGGTTATAGCCCACTGCATGAAGAATCAAAAGTAAGTGACAATAGGAGATTCATGCCTTGCCATTTAATTGGCACCAGTTTATTTTGGAAAGTTTTTCACTAAGACAGAGAGAGACTTTAAGAATGGAGGGTACAGAAATGTAATTGGTAGTCCTTTGAGGCACTTACTTAAACTAATTCGTGATCCAATATTCCCAGCATTTTTGTAATGGAATTTAAATAACAACAAGGAAGATGGAGTCTCTAACCCTGAAGAGACATTTAGAAGAAGGATGTATATTTTTTTACTTTACCCCTTGCATAGATAACACCTATATTGTCAGCCCACTATTATAGAGATCTTTTCTACCTTCATTAATTCTGTAATTTCAAAGAGATTTACAGGAGGTGGAAAGAAATGCATGTTTCCAAATGGCTTGGGTTTGGCATGTTCTCTCTTGGTGAGAGAAGCAGTCACATTCCTGCAGTGTCTCGTGGTGTCGGTGCTTGCAGGTGCCGTGGAGCCAGCCCCCAGGAGCCAGTGCGCAGCAAGACAAGACACGGTCCCGTCCCGGGCCGTCCTCACAGCTGCTCTTCGATTGGAGCCCATTGTTGTAGTCACTATGTCAGTCCATCTTGTCAAGGGTCTTCTGTTCACGGCCCTTCTACTTGATCACCAAGCATGATGTCCTTTTCCAGGGACAAATCTCTCCTGATAACATGTCCATCTCAATACAAGTATTTCTTAAATATAGCTTTTCTCAAGTATAATGCTCCTCACTTGGTCATTTTAAGAAGCAGGAAAAATTAACTCTTGAAATTACAATACCCAGAAGCAGATGGTCACTTAGTGTTTAAACTCATTTGTTTTTATAATCTAAAGTCAAATATTAAAGATTACATCATGATCATAACAAAAGAAAATGTCCATGATATTCCTTCTAATTAAAACAAAATCTTTTCATATCACAAGTTGGGAAACACCTATGCTTCTGAAATTACCATCTTATTATCCAAAATTTTTAAATAAGAATAGATATTTTTGTGTTGGACAGTATAGACTCCTGGTTGAAAAATGTGAGCTTTCATAAAATGTAATAATAATAAATTTTCCTAATGGGTTAATTCCCCAAAACAAACTCTCAGTGTATATGAGTTGAAGATTATATGATAGTATTTGCTGTGGAGTAGAAAACCAAATTGTTTCATTGTAGCTGCAAATTAAACTTATAAACTTGACCGAAAAGAACTTTTTCCCTTTCCCTGGGGAATTCATAGTTTCTTTTAAGATTCTCAAAATGTTTATTCCAGTAATCCTTGGAAAAGAATCTTGCCCCCAAATTGAGATGTAACTGATTTAGCAACTATGCTTTGGTTGGGCCTGAGCCTTTGTAAAACAGAAAGGGAAAAAGAAAAAAAACACAGTAACTGTGAAGAGCTCACTACCATCGAGTTGATTCCAATTCACATTGACCCTATAGGACAGAGTAGGACTGCCCCTGTGGCTTTCGGAGGCTGGCTCTTTAAGATAGTGGAAAGCCTCATTGTTCTCCTCGGTAATGGCTGGTGGGTTCAAGCTGCTGACCTTGTGATTCACAAGCCACTCTAATTCACTACACAACCAGAGTGCTGCACAGTAGGGGTTCATCATTGTACTTCACTCCGTGTTGATACAAGAAGTAGATTAGATGGCCCTTGTTTATTATAGACTGTAGAAAAATGATAGACTCCCTTCCTCCCAGGAGCAGATCGGAACTAAGGTAGTTCTGGGGCCAGTGTTCTGCTGAAGGTCTTTGCTCTTCATTCCTTGCTGGATTAGCCTTTCAAATCATAAGTAGGGGTTCTTCCTTCTGAAGGAGTAGTTTCCTGTGGTCTTTGGCCACTTGACCCAGTTGCCAACTCCAGCAGAGAACCTAAGAAACCCACCTTCTAGTCAAAGCATGCTGTTTACAGCAGCAGCACTTGGCACATGGAGGCTATAAAGAAGTCATATATGCCACTGTGCGGTTTCTCAGAAGAACTGGCAAGAAAAATGGCATAAAACGAGAAGAAAGACAATCTCATTCCTGTTACCTGAGTATATCCTGTTTACTCAAAACAGTAGCAAAGTTGGTGCTGATTTGTACACCGTAGGACAGTAGTACCCTTTGACCTCATGGCAAACGGAGAAAATGAGGAAGCTTGTCTCAATACAGGGCCGACAGATGAGGTTGCTCTTGACCAGAACCTGCTAGGTAACCCGCTTTGCTGTGGTGTGGCCTGAGGGGATTCCTACCTTGGCACACTTGTTCTTGCACACTGATTGAGAGGAGGGAGGGAGCCTTACCCAGAGTGCAGTCTGCAGTGTCATGGGGGCTTAAGATGCTGCCAACCAAGTAGGTGATACAAGAGTGGTGTGCATGAACTAATAAGCAGCCCAGGCATTTTAATCTGAACCCAGGTAACTTGGAAAAGTGGGAAGTAGTTCTGGGATTGAGGTCTATAACTTGGAAAATGTGACTACATTGCTCACAAGTAAAGGCCATTTAAAACAGTAGAAAATAAGGAAGTAGACTCTCTAAAGCAGTGGTTCTCAACCTTCCTAATGCCATGACCCTTTAATGCAGTTCCTCATGTGGTGGGGACTCCCCAACCATAACATTTTCGTTGTGACTTCATCACTATCATTTTGCTACTGTTATGAACCGGGTGACCCCTGTGAAAGGGTCGTTCGACCCCCAAAGGGGTTGCAACCTACAGGTTGAGAACCGCTGCTCTAAAGGAATAGAGTCAGAAGAACTGTATCATGGAATCAGACTTGGAGACGACTTGGTAGATTTGGGAATACTTTTGCTAAACAAGTAGATGTTCTAAGGATTGTAATATCTTCTGATTTGGGGTTGGAGTTAGTCTGAATATAATTTATTGCTAGGAATCAGAAGCTTTAATTCTAGGCCTGTTTAACGTTTCCATTTCTAAACTCATGTTCAGCAGGTTTGGCCATTTCTAGGTATAAATGTAAGTACTTATGAGAATCAGTATCCACATAGAGCCCCATGTCTAGTGTGTTTAGTAGTTACTCTTCTATGGAATGACCAGATTTTATCTTGAGAAATGGCACAGAGACTTGGCTATTTAAAAGGAGTTGTTTTTTACCCAATGTTCAAGTGATAAGGGAAGTGTTTGAATATATAACAATGACTCCTACTGTAAAATAAGCCCAGCTTTTCATGACCCAGTAAACCCTCGAGGAAACCAGTGCTCTCAGAGTTCATACGATGGAACATCTTCTCATGAGTTTAAGATGATTCATTTATGTTGATAAACATTGTGAACTTGGCCTTGGTAAACTTGTGAACTCAACATTACCTTACTGTTATATATATGTATCTTTAAGAGCAGAGAAAATGACCATAGTTTATAACCCCAACTACACTGAAAATGGGATATGATTGTAGGGTAAAATGTCAGACCTCCCCCCAAATTCTTGAAGATGTACAAACTTCTCTGTAGACTCAAGCCCAACTAGTTGAATGTAGCCAGAGATGCTTAGTGTCAGTTTTTCAATTTAACAAAAGGGCTGGATTTAAAAATGGGAACCATGCTACACGATGCTGCTGCTTTAAGGTAATAGGGTATTTTGTATCAATTGTTATTAGGTAAGAATATAGCTAGCATTTCTGCTGGGCTCTTAAGCATGTCCTTCTGTTGTTGCCCTTTTATCTGTGTTAATATATCCATTTATCTACTTACCTAACCCCCGTATTTATTTCTGCTTAAGCAAAGGTTTTAATACATAAACATCAATATTTTTCGTCTCTTATCTCTTTCACTAATGAGGTACTATTTCTGATATTTCAAATAGTAGTTATCAAATTATAAAACAAAAATTCCTGATAGCCTTGATATTTTGAGCAAAATGTATTTTTCTAGATAAGCTTAAGACCAAATTATTATCTGATTATAAAATTGTCTTAAATTCTGTAATATAATTGGTTCATAAGTGAAACTAAATTCTCACATTGTACAACCCTTTTTAGTTTAAGGTAGTAATGATCAGCAAGACAGGTGTGCTGGAAGTAGTTACCACTCTAATCTGCTCTCCGGGCTAAAAAGCATAGCTAAGAACCCTTCATATATATAGTCCTTCGATGTTATTAGAAGAGTTTAAACCCAACTAACTGTGAAAAACACCTAACAATTTTTGTCCATCCAATAGTGATGCTTTTCTTATTTTTTAAATGTGTGGTTTCCTATCTTTCTTCTGTTCCTTGGTAACCTGGTGGAATAGGCATGTAATCACGTTAAAGTTAGCATTACGATCACAACCAAAATGCTTTTCTTAATGGGGACCCTTGAGGCTACTCACTCATTCCATTGAGGGGATGAAAGAGATGGTTCATTCCCATCCAATATTGTTTACAAACGGTGTTGCTCAAATCTAGGTGACTGGCTACTAGGGAAATAAATGAATGTGGAATTGAGGATGGAACAAAGAATTCAATGCTTTACAATAATGGACTATATTTGAGAGTTCGAGAGAGGATTGGAGAAAATAACTGAGTATGTAAAAAATGGTAAGTTCCGATTGTTCAGTTGAAGGCAAGTGGCTGGCTCGATGAAATGACATAATCATTAGCTTTCATCCTGTGACCCTGATGTCTTAGCCTCTGTCTCAGAATTGAGAAATGAGCAGAATTTATCAGAAAGGCTGTTCATTGCTGGTATCGTTTGTGTGTGCATGATGTGTAGTACACACAGCTCTCCTTATTGATCCTTCACAGGTGTATTATTTACTTTGCCTTCCAGGTGTCCGCAAATATGGTAAAGATTTTCAAGCTATTGCAGATGTAATTGGCAACAAGACTGTTGGCCAAGTGAAGAACTTCTTTGTAAACTACAGGCGTCGGTTTAACTTAGAGGAGGTATTGCAGGAGTGGGAAGCAGAACAAGGAACCCAGGCTTCTAATGGTGATGCTTCTACTTTAGGGGAGGAGACAAAAAGTGCTTCTAATGTGCCATCAGGGAAGAGCACTGATGAAGAAGAGGAGGTGTGTTTGTGTATGGATTTGAGTTAATATGAGTTGAGGAATCACCATTTTGTGTGGTGTTCTGTAAGGTTAATTTGTCAGAGGACTGGCTAAATGAACATGAAAGGTTGACAATACACTTACTCAGTGGTACATTTCTAGTGACTCTTAAGTCATAATGACATGCTAAGTTCTGATCCTAGAAGAATGGAGAGTGTATTGTTCTTTCATAGTCTTATTTTTATTTCCAGTGTTATGCTGTTTACTAATAAGATGCCTGTTTGGTAGCTTCGTTGCTTTTTTAGTTTTGTTTTTGTTTTGTTTTGTTTTGTTTTGTTTAAAAGACAAGAAGCTTGTGCTTCCAATAAACACTGGTGTTATGTTTTGGTTTTGTTTTGTTTTTCCTGTGACAGCCCAAACTATATTGTGTTAAGTTCATTTGGCGCCATCATCTCATGTGTGTGTTTTTGTTTTCTCACCTCTAGGCACACACCCCACAGGCTCCTCGAACTCTGGGTCCATCACCTCCTGCCCCATCATCCACTCCAACACCAACAGCCCCCATTGCCACTCTGAACCAGCCTCCACCACTTCTTCGTCCAACACTGCCTGCTGCCCCTGCTCTTCACCGGCAGCCTCCTCCACTCCAGCAGCAGGCTCGGTTCATCCAGCCCCGGCCAACTTTAAATCAGCCTCCGCCACCTCTCATCCGCCCTGCTAATTCTATGCCACCCCGTCTAAACCCAAGACCAGTGTTGTCCACGGTTGGTGGTCAACAGCCACCATCACTTATCGGAATTCAGACAGATTCACAGTCCTCACTGCACTAAAAACTACATTGGACAAAACTGCAGTGACTCGCCACCCCCTCATTATACCAGTGCTCGTCTGACTGATGCAAACGAGAGCAGAGTAGTCTTTCCCAGAGACCGAGGCTGCAGACTAGTTCTGTGGCAGAGGAGGAGCGTAAGTGCTTCACTAAAGTGTTAGTGGACAGAAAGCCTCCAGGTAGCCGCCTTTTCTAGAGTGTATGTTCAGCGAGGTGATCTCATAACCAGAAAGGAAAAAAAAGATTTAAGTATTCTGCATACCAAGGTTTTTTTGTTATTGTTGTTTTGTTTGTACTATATTTATTTTATTGAAGTTCTTTATACTCCAGCCTCTCCATAGTCAGGGCTCTGAATATAGGAATATTAATTTAGGAATTGTGAAAACTCCTTAGCATTTCTTAAGGATGTTTGACACCCCCCCCCCTTTATTTAAAGGTTTTTTTTATTATTACACATTTTCCTATGTTAGGAGTGCAAGAATAAATATCCTGCATTTTAGATTTTGACATAAGTTCATTTAATGCATATTTAAGAAATTATAGCTACGTATCCCTTTTTTCAAAAGATGTTGCTTTTTTTTCCAAAGGGATTTTAATATATTCCTTTAAAAGAAAGCAATTTAATCAATTGCAAAGCAATTATATGAAACCACAAAGAATGTACTGAACCTATAGATCCTGTAACATACAATGGGGTCCTAATGCAAAATTCTTGTTTAAAAATCATTGGCTGTCATCTGTCAGTAACAAGAGGATTGGATTAGTGATTTTACATACAGATGAGAACTTAATTTGCTCAAGTACAAAGTCTAGGTTCCTTGAAAAGAGTTCCTTTTGATTATTTTGTTTTTGAATGTTTCTAAATGCTATATTGCTTTTTAACTTGTAGTTGCCTACACTTGGGCACTTTAGAAGAGAATTCTATTTTGTCATTTATGTGGACAAGGTGGTTATGGAAGCCTTTATTTGCAATACCCTCTTTGTGTCGAGGTTTTTCTGAACTTAAAATCCCCTTCATACGTGTTACGATGGTCTGCATTTAATATAAAAGATGTTTTCTTGATAAATTTCTATCATACTGTTTGGATGCATTTGTGTATCCTTGCAGCCAACCTGTACTTACAAGAGTGGTTTAGGGTTAAATCATCATCATTTCATGAAATAAAATTAAGAATTTGTTCTGTATTACCTAAAAATAGATCAGTATATTGTCTCAATTGTGTTGTTAACTAAAAATGCCAAGATCCTTTTTTATGAAACAACGACAACACAATAGTTCAAATCTTCTGAATTCCACACATAATCATCAGGCACCTATGAAGATTTTTTTCCCTATGAAGAAAATTTTTCAGGTGATAGTATTTCAGCAATGTGTTACAAATATTTTTCTGATTCAACCATTTACCATTAGAATCATGACTTGTGCAAAGGGACAGGTCACTTGGCTTGCTGTCCTCGTGGAACCTAAGGTTCAAACGTGCGTGTGTGCATAGTGGTTACATTGAGAGCTACTTCACAACATGGACAGCATCTAAGGACTTAGTTTTGAAAAGTCATGTTTTTCCCAAAACACTGGGAAAAATGGCCCTTGCCAATGATCTTAATGAACTAAAGAGCAAAAACGGAATTCATTGATTAGTATTATTGTGAAATTTAGGTGGCCACTTTCTGTAAGATCCCGAAGTCCTAGCATAATGTAAAAACCTTCCAGGATGAGTTCTTCATGGATCATCTCACATAGTTCCTGGTCCTGGATTGTAACCAGGTGAGATCTAACAGATTGAAGAATTCTTAGTACTCAAGAATTTTTACTTTAAAAGCCACAGGGGACAGATATCTATCTTAAAAGAAAAACTAAGCAATTTTTTTAAGTACCTAGATCAAGTCTTGCGTATGTGCATACTATACCTATACAGCCTTTATTGTCTTGTCTGTCCTGTCTGTCAGTAGACCTTCAGTATACAGTATGTGGCGTATGTCAATCCAGTTGGACAGTCCCACCATCTGTTCAGCGGGCTCGTATATTGTGATTCATCTAACGTCTGTCCTGCCCCAGACATGGGCCAAGGTGCTGTATCTGAGGATGTGCCGTAATTTGGTTTCCGTACATTAGAGCACACACTAGGAAAATCTTAGCTTCATTAGTAATATGACACATGTATATAGTGAGATGTCTTTATCGTGTGCTTTGCATATTTTGTAAATATTTTGCACGTCATTTATTTTTATTTTTCATTTAAGCAGTGTTTGGCCTGGAAGAGTGATATGCTTGCTGCTTAATCAAAGGATTAAAGATTTAAAGATGTCTATGTCTTCTATTTTTATATGATTTCATGTTGTATGAGGAACCTAGGACCTCTTTACTGTGAAATCCTAAACAGTGATTTTTATCAAAGCAAACCTAGAACTCCCTTACTGGCCAATTTCATTAATGTCAGGGTCATCACTTTGAAGAAATCTGCACCCAAGTGTTGTTTTTATTGCATAACTAAGAATAAATCACTGTTGGTTTACCTGGTAAGTTTAATGGAAACAATATTCTGTATAACTTAATTCAAATGTAATAAGGATGGAGGTAAAGGTAAGATATAATCAAAACGTCTATAATTCTAAAGTTTACAACTAAATGAGTAAAATAGAATGTAAAATAAAGATTCAGGAATCTAAAAATGTCTTAATAGGCCTACATTCTTTGTAGAAATATATGGAAGGGGGGCAAAAAGGGCAGCTTTTGCCCCCAAACAAAGCTCAAAAGTCAGGGGTGGGGGGGGACAAGGAAGGATGAATGGGTGTGGGGACCCAGGCAGGAAGCAAGGAGGGTGCTGTTGCATCGACAGAACTGCAACTAATGTTAACGAAACAAAATGTTAAAGGTTAGTAAGTGGAAAATCTCTGCGCTCTCACCCATATCACAGTTACAAAGTGTAGGGAGCAGCAAAGAGTGTGCCCATCATGATTTTAATAAATATATTAATGCTGCAAGTACTTTACCTCAAGTAGCAAGTTTAGTTAGTATGTTGTATTTCAATGTTCCTGCTCTCATAAAAATACTGGAAAGAAGTACTGACCAGTTAACACTAAGGTATCATTCTCAAAAAGATTAACAGGCTGGCTTTGAACTCTACCCAGAATCTACGTCTGTACTTCTCCCAGATAGATGATGAATACATTTTAGACAACAGGAAACGAGAGAAAACTAAGATCTCTCACATTTTAAAAATATTCATTATAGATTAACTTCATATCAGACTAAAAAATTATAAAGATAATAGACTAAATGGTTACAGAAAGTCTAAAGAAGTATGCTATATGCTACTAGAGAATACTGGAAGCTTTACCTCATTTTCAGACAACTTGCTTTTGTGGAGATAGACATTGCTTTTTCTTGGGGGTGGGGGTGCCGTAGCCCCATTCTTTATTATAGATTTAACTGCCCTGGTGAAGAATACTGTAGCAATGGGTTTCAAGTCTAAACCTTAGAGGGAATGTTAAATATGAGTTGATAATTTTTCAAAAGATTTTCTTATTTCAGTGGCTGCCCAAGCAGCTGCTTAAGAAAGTCTTGTCTACTGAAGAGAACAGCAGAAAGACCAGAAATGAGGGTCGCACTGAAGTGTTCACAAATGATGTCTGGCGAGCACTGGGCTCTTAACTGCATGGTCTGCAATTCAACCCCACCAGCCATTTCCTTTAAAGATTTACAGTCTTGGAAACCCTATGCATGGTTGCTGTATGAGCTGGGATCCGTTCCATGGCAACAGATTGTGTGTCAATAGGGAATAGGCCATTACAGGGTGGTGAGTTCTTACATGGTAGAATCCTATCGCTGGAATTTGGTGGGCATGGTCTCAAGAAAGAAAGCCTAGAGCTGTCAGCGCTGTCTTCATGTACATAAGGTGCACGCCGCTGTCCCTAATGCTTTAGGTATCACTCTTCCCTCCCCACTTTGGATTTATTCGAAAGATTAATTATTTTATTCTGTATGGTTTGATTTTATGTAAACATAAGACGCAATTACCAATAACTAAGAAGGTCAATAATAAGGTGACTTCCATCAATGCTCTACTGCATCCTGATTGACTTGACCCTTCTGTGGGTCTTTCGATAGCTTTTTAGAGAAGCACATCCTCTGTCTTCACCACATTTGCTTACGCACCCGGTGTGTCTTCAGCAATCGTGGGGGGGGGGTGAGCATCACAAAATGCCATTTTGTTAGAACAAAGTGTTCTTGTATTGCTGGAGGGTATGAGCCCAAGGCCTGTCCACAGCCTCAGTGTATTGCCTTATAAATATGTAAGGAGTTGTAAGAGCCCCCAATAAAATGATCTTAAAAAGAAGAAGAAAAGAATAAGGTGACTTAAGAACTTCCCTGAATAGATTTTTTTAGTAGGATTTGGCGTAAAGAGGTCTTTACCCCAGAACCAGAACCGCTTAGGCATGCTGACACTTTGCCCTTCCCACATGAGGGTGGAGGGAATCGGTCACTTAGATGGCCTGCCTGGTTACTTAGCTTACAATGGAAGAGTCACCCCTCTCGTCTTTATATCATGACCCTTTATGCTGTTAACTGGTTATACATTGAAATCAATGTCCTCATGTAACAAGTTAGCACAATATAACTACATGATTTTGAGAGGCCTCCCTCCAAATAACTAAAAAAGTTTAAACGCTAAAGCCAATACCCGTGAACAAGTGACGTCCTTCCTGAGCCTCAGTCTCAGAAGTGCTCTGAAGGGTTGCTGTGCGTTGCAGTCGGGACAGCGTTAGGAACCCGTGGGATGGGTAGGAAGCCCTGTGGGTTTCCGAGACTGTGAGGGCTACTATAGTGCTAGCCCTTGGTTGACTGTGCATGTGAAGAGATTTTGCCATAGCTTACTTGGATCTCTGTCACCTTAAATTGTTAAGTGCAATGTAAATAAAAAGGTCAAATACCAGGCTCAAGATAACAGATTGAACATATTTGTTTGCTTTTCCGTTTCAAAATCTGGCTGAAATGACAAGAGAAACTTTTGAAAACTTAATAGTCCTAGAAAGCCAAGAGCATTGCCACCAGCAGATGGAGACAGGTTTAGGATAAAACCCAACAGTATCCCATTTCCATAAAAGCAAAGGAGCAGGAAAGTAGTGATATTCTCAGAAGCAGCCCAAAATCTTATATTAGAAATGGACATGTGGACCAGCCCCCTAAGATCCCTCCCACTTAGTATTCATGCCTTTTAAGTATGGGCTGGACGTAGTGATTTGTTTCTAACCAATGGGATGCAAAAGCGGGGTGACATTTCTGTGATTAGGTTACAGCAGGTGGTGGAGTCTGTCTTGCTAGCAGACAATAATGCCTGCTCCGCTAGCATGTTTGAAGAAGCAAGCTGCCAGGCTGGGAAGTCCATGAGAGGAGCAACTCAGGGCAGCCTCCTGCAACAGCAAAGCACTGGGGCGCTCAGGTCAACCACCTGTGAGGAGTTAAATCCTGGCAACAAGCACGTATCCTTTCCGGGTAAGTCTTGAGATGACTAGAGCCCAGCAGACACTGCAGCCTATGAGACCACAAAGCACAGGACTCGACCACACTGTGTCCACATTCCTTAGTCATAGAAACCCTGAAGCGCTTTATTTCAGCTGGGTGGGGGGCAATTTGTTATCCAGCAATCAATAGCTAGCAATGGATAATTATAAACCATGCTGATACTAATCAACAGGAAGTTGGAGGGACTATTCTCAGACAGTGTGGATTTAAAAGTCAAGAGTATTATATCAAATGATAAAGATGATCATTTCCTAAAGACAAATGTACCAGTTCAAGTAGACTTGATAAAGCTCGCATAGGCAAACCCACCACTATGGTCTGTGGTTTCAGCATCCATCAACAACTGATAGAGCCCATGCAAGTCAAGCAAGCATCAATAAGAATATAAAGGAGTTGGACAACACTACCAACCACCTTTACCTGATTGTAATTTATAGATCATTGCAGCCTAAAGTGGCAGAATAAATACTTTCATGTGCACATGAAATATTGCCAAAACAGATCACAAACCTTAAGCAAGTTCTAATGTAAAATGATTCAAATCATCAGAATTAATAAGATGTTAGAAATCAGCGGCATAGAGAAATCTAGGAAGCCCCCATTATTTTGAAATTAAACATTTCTAAATATGCGTCAAAACAAATTATAAGAGAAATTAGAAAATATCTTGATTTGAATGTAAATGAAATAAAAATCTATGAGATGTAGTAAGGCTGTACATAGGAAGGAATGTATAGCTTTTAACCTTTATATTGTTAGGAAAAAGTGTCTTAAATCAATCACTGAAACTTTTATCTTAAAAAACGAGGAGAGTGATCCAGAACAGATGACCCCTTCAGGACCAGTGGTGAGAGTGACGATACCGGGAGGGAGGAAGGAGAGTGGGGTAGAAAGGGGGAACCAATTACAAGGGTCTGCATATAACCTCCTCCCTGAGGTATGGACAACGGAAAAGTGGGTGAAGGGAGATGTGGGACAGTGTAAGATATGACAAAATAATAATTTATAAATTATCAAGGGTTCATGGTGGGCAGGGAGGAAGGGAAAAATGAGCTGATACCATATGCTCAAGAAGAAAGCAAATGTTTTGAGAATGATGTTGGTGACAGATAGGCAAATATGCTTGACCCAGTGGACATATGTATGAATTGTGATGAGTCGTACAATCCCCCAATAAAATGATTTTAAAACACATACACACAAAAGAAACTGCATGCACTTTACAGAGTAGATTCCATTTCCATTTTCAAACATTATTTTTCAATATTTTTTTAGAAATTAAGCATAATAAATGATTGAAAATAAAAACTTTTAAAGGGATTATATAGCATAATCCAGTGGTATTTATCTCAAGAATGAAAGTTTAGCTTCTCCTCTGAAAATCAAACAATGTAATGCACCGGGGATTTTCAACCGTGACGTGAATGATGTTTAGAACTAGCTGATTCCTTGTTGTACACTGGGGGATGTGTAGCAGTGTACCTTGACACTACCGACTAGGTGCCAGGTAACAAATTATGAAGAGAAATAAGAGATTGTGTGTGTGTGTGTGTGTTAGGAGCAGGGCTGAAGCAAATATAAAATAAATGACAACAGACATAGTGTAAGTCTTTATTTTTCAAGTTGTCATTTGCAATTATACACAGTAAATAAAAAACTGAAACGAGGTAGAACAAAATGGATTTAGGTCTTTCTTGAGTTCCTAATCTAAAGAAGTAGCTGTTGAACGTGTGTGTGTGTGTGTGTGTGTGTGTGTGTGTGTGTGTGTGTAAAAGAGGGAGAAAGATGGGGATTTCTGCTCCTGAAAAGTTACAGACTCTGAAACTCACAGAACCCTTTAAGGTCTGGAGTCAGCATCGCCTTGATGGCAGTGAGTTTATGGGGTTGTTTGGTTTGGAAAAGAAAGCCTTTGTTTCTTTCCAAATTTGCATCAGTCCTGGGAGAAAGGCCGCCACACCCTCTGCCTCTCTGGTGATCAGAGATGGGGTCGACATTTTGGATAGAATCAGAAGGACCACGTAGCACTGACTAGGAAATGAAATAGAGAAAAACAATAGCCGTGCATTCATTTATTCCCCCATCCACAATCCAGCACCCAGTTAGGGAGCATTGTGTGTACAGACGCTGAGGTGTTGCTTTTGCCTGGGAG